AGCTTTACAAATAGCAACAAATGAATCAGTCTGTCGAGTTTAACCATGTGATAGTACAAAATTTTTTTTAATTTTAGCAAAAAATCTGTAATTGTATTTATTTTTATTAGCCGTGATAAATTCTCCATGAAGATATATTAATTTCCGGATTTACTGGTTTGGAGATGACTAATGTGAACTGAAATGACAAAAAAAAATTATTTTGATCGGCATTCATCGGAAGAAGGATATTTTATTTATCAATTGAATACGTGTGTCTTTCCCATCTAGATCTTCATCCCTTTCAAGAAAAAAAAAGTCTACGAAATTTGAAAAAAAAAATAATTTGATTTATGTTGTATTTTATTTTTATTTTTTACCTCATTAATAAAGCTGCTAATTTCGTATATATAATCGTGTTTACTTTTACATGTGTATTTATTTCTGGAATTTATTTGTTGAAGACACTAAGCTCTACTTATTCCAACGTATTGCCATATATGATCGAGAATTTATCTAAATTTTTCTTGGCAAATTTGAATAACCCGAGGTCTGCGAAATACACAATCTTAAAATCAATTTATTAGAAGACAGAATTCCAAGCTTGTAGCCAAAATTACTGAACTTAAAGTTGTGGCTGAGAATCATGAGATTAAAGCTGAGAATGCGAAGTTAAAACAAGTTTTGGAAAATTATAAAGTCAGATTCACGAATCTAGAGCAAAACGATAAAGAGCAACCTTATTGCAAAATTGTTATTAAGGAAATCAAATAATCTTCGGTTAATAATGAAACGAATTTTCCTGAACGGATAGAAATAACATATGTCAGGAAAGAATAGCTGATGCCTCACATCACCTATTCCTGTAAACTATATCATCGGAAGAATAAATTCTTGGAATTCACCAATTATAGATATATTAGATATGAAAACATCCTCACTCTGTGAGTCAGACTTGACTATATTTTTTTCGTCATCTCCACCAACTATTGTGAAACAGGTCAAAGAGTCTACAGGTTTTGATATAGCCTCTGATTTCAGGTGATCGAGTTCATTTCTCATACGTTCCAATTCAACTTCTATTTGTTTAAACTCACCCATTTTAGATTTAAAGGATAAATTCTCAGTTTCTTTTTCAATAAGTTTTTCTGAATCGAAAATGCATCCTTCTGAGCTGATATTAACTTACCATTTAATATCTTGATTATTGTCTGAAGTGATTTTATTTCTTTTAATTGTGTCTGAAGTGATTTTATTTCTTTTAATTGTATATCATACCTGGCTTTATACTCATTATAGGAAATTTGTGATTGGGTAATCTGAGATGTAAGGTTAATGTTGTCTACTCTTAATCGTTTAACCTCATCTATAAGCTGGAATGCATGCTTGGAGAGTTTCTCTTTATCTTTATTGAATTGATTTAGATTATGTTGTATACGCTTATTTTCTTTATCCAAGATAGAACATTTATTAGCAAGTCGATTACTACATTCTATAGCAATTTCCTGATCTTGATTTGCGTAAACAAGTTGATTTTCAAGTTCTGTTCGGCTAGATGGATATCGATTGGTGGGCATGTCTCCAAGTTTTTTGCCTTCATCTATATCTGATAATGTATGAATTTGAGATATTTTATTGATATCTAAAAAAATAAATATATTTGTATTTTAAATGTGATATATTATATAAAATATACCTATATATTTGCAAAGATGTACTAGATAGAATATATGTATTAGATAGAATATACATATTAGATAGAATATACGTATTAGATAGAATATACGTATCAATTATGATGTATTAGATCGAATATACATAACTATTATATTTTATTTTTCCGATATATTTTTTTATTTCGGTATAATTTATATTTTTTATTAGATATAAACATCTTGTATTTACATTTACTACTATGCCTAGAGTACGTATGCGATCTGATGCACCTCAATTTTCACCTGAAGATTATTCATATATTATACAATGTCGTGATATGAAATCAAGATATAAAATTTTAAATGAGTTGATGGGTAAGTATAAAACATCGACAAAACATATTTATCAAATTTGGAGAGGAGAAGAATTTAATAGAGTTCTTTGGGATCAACCTATACCTCACTTATATGATAATGATGATGACTCTAAGCATGATACCAATATATCAAATCCTATTGGAAATATATTTCATATAGAGTCCCAGGTTTTAAATAGGGACAAAGTTTTTTTTCAAGATTCTACAAACTCTCTTACAGGCCTACTATGTAATAATGTATCAGCAGAGCCAGCACAATCAAATAAACAGACAAAAACAAAGATTCGAAGCTCTACTTCCCCACATGTAGTAAAAAAAAGTAGTACCTCTTCTATAGATAATATATCTAGACTCAGAGAATCATTGTTTTGCAATAAAAGAAAGGCGAATCTTGAAAAATTAATGAAAGATACTAATAAATTGATACCTATAAATTCATCTTTGTCTCAGTAAGTTGAGAATATCTTTCTGCAAGAACTTTACTTGCGTTTAAAGCCATATCAAGCCACTCTTCAGTTTTTATAAGTCGCTTTTCAAGTTCATCATATTTTTCACAATTTATATATTTTTTTTTATCTCTGACTCCTGTAATTTTTCTGTATTAAATGCATTGCGTGATTCTTTGCGAGTAAAAAAAGGAATTGTAATAGTCTTTTCATTGTGTGTTGCTATAAATTCCCTTTTACAATAGGATCCCATCCAATATGATGTTACTATTTTGTACCAAGTATCATTATAGATATATCTTTTCCATTTCAATCCTTTTTTGTAGGAATTATAGATATTTCTTTTTCAGAAACTGTTATAGAATCTTTTTCACTATCTATAGATATAGAAATGTTATATGAAGTACCAACAGATTGAGAATCTCCAACTGTACCTGTAAGTTTGTGAACATTTTTCTTATCTGTTTTTATCTCTAAATATTCAGAAATGTTATCTGTAAATAATGAATCATCTGCACTGGTATCTAGAATTGCGTGAGGAATTATCAAGTCACCTATTCTACAAAAAATCGTTGCCATATCATTAGGTTCTTTTATATCGAGAAAATTAATCTCAAAAGGGTTAGGTCAATTTTGTTTTATTTGTACTCCTTGATATACTTTAATGGTATGATTTAATGTAATAGAATTGTCAAGGTTTTTTGGTTGAGATATAAACTCATAATCACGATTCGTTTCTTTGTAACTTGAAGAGTTTGGAGTCTGGTCCTTAATAATTTCAATAAGTAGTTGGAAAATAGTTAGATATTTTTTTGCAATATTCTCCCATACCTTATTTCTTTCTTTGACTATATACTTTTTATCATAATATGAATCAAACTGATCCTTCATTTTTATAAACAGGTTATTAAGAAATATACGAGTTTCAATGAGAATCTCCTTAGGACAATGGGGTATTAATTTGGATATCATATATTTAAAAGATTCAAGAAATACTTCCTGTTCCAAAGTAACGATCGATTTTTTCTTAGTAGAAGGCTTCTTCTTTATAGAAATCTGACTTTTTTTTTTATATTGAAATATAATTGTGATTCATTATCAGAGGCACTTTCCTTAACTTCAAACCCTTCTTCATCAGAATCCTCTAATATTACAATAGATTCATTTTCTTGATCAGAATTTTCTGGTTCAGATTGGTAAGTATAATTAACTTTCTTGAGTTTCTTACTGAATTTAAAACACTTATTTTTTATATGTTCAATTTTTCCGCAATTTGAGCATTTGTATATAACTTTAGTAACTTTTGTTAGTTTCTTTGTAACGTATACTTTTTTAGCACTTCTGATATTATTATTTTGTTCAAAAGGTTCTTTCTTAACATGATAATTTGCATATCCAAGTTTTTTATATAATTCATCTTTGATAAAACTTTCTAAAGCATCAGGATTTCAAGATGCATTGTCTAAATATCCCAATCTCATAGCAATACTTTCTAAATGTTCTGTCGCCTTATTTTCCAGAAGCTGTAGTTGAGATTGAGGTTGGAGGTGTTGGTAATATTGAATTTGAGGGGGTGAAGTGGATATAGCAATATGTATTTGCAAAGCAATATTAGGTGATTGAATATTACTCCTACTCCCATTTGATTCTAACTAATAATTTCTAAGATTTGTAAAGAAAGTGTCTTTAGTTGCAGGGACTGTCATTCTAACTCGGAGTTCTAAATTTTCTGATAAGTGGTTATAGAGTATAGTTAAACAATTGGCATCTGCAATAGAATGTGTAAATGTACAAATTCTTTGCTTATAACTATCTGATGTATCAAGTGAAAAAAATTTTTCATTTATAAGTGCTTTCATAAATGCTTGATTAGTTCCTATCATTATTTCTCGATATTTATCTTTTAACCAACCAAGAAAAAATGTTGGTGTATTTACTTGATTACCTGCATTATTTTGAAATAGATTGGGTGGTATAAATCTTTCAGCTAATCTAGATAATAACATTCGTATTTTTACTACATCATTAAACCCCATAACACTTAATGTATTACCATATTGAAATATCTGCATAAATTTGTGATAATATTCTATTGGAGGTTCCTGATCAATATACATTGGAATTTGAGCAATCATTAAGGCTAATGATGATGTAACATCAGTTAAGACAACCATATTAAGTGAATTTACTAATGGATTATTTTGTAAAGCA